GGGACCCGCACGGCGGTGACGGGAGGGCGATCCAGCCCTCGCTGCCCTTCCCGGGGCAGGGGAGGTTCCCCGGGGAGCCTCACTCCAGGCAGGAACTGCACTTCTGGGGTTACTCGGAGGACTGACAGGCTGGAGTGGCTTCCACGCTCCCCGGCGTTCCCTGTAAAAATCTCGGGAGCAGAGAGGGGCTGTGGCTGCAGGCTCTGATCCCTCATTCTGTGCTGTCTGGAGCAGGGCACACCCGAGGGGGGAGCGAGGGGGACGACGGTGTGGAGCACACGGGCAGAGCAGCCTCGAGCAAGAAGTCCTGTTCCTCCCCCGTGTTGCTTTTCTTACCCGTGTCGTGTCTCCTTTGCTCCCACTGCACCTCTCGGGGTCTGCGGCATCATTCCCCCTTGTCTAAGAGCTCTGTGTCACAAACGGCCACGATTTCTGTAAGAATGATTATCTGCATAAAGATTATTAATTTTGCCCTGGTATGTGGCACTGCCCTCAAGTCAAAACCCTTCAGGCAAAGGGACTTCAGTCTTACCCCGATGTGACCCTGCCAGGGTCAGCCATGGCCATGCTCATGGGGCTGACAGCGGGAAATCAGCCTTGAATAATTCATAGCTTGTCTTCAAGTGTTTATCCTCAGGGATTTTGGTCTCCTCTGATGCCAAAAGTACCATTATTAAAATGGGTAAATCAGCCCTCTCAGGTTCTTTTTTCCAGCTCATAGGACATCTCTATCTCACCCCTGTGCCTCTTTGCACATGCTGTTTTGCTGGAAGGGACCTAAATTTAGCAGCTGGGATGCAGCTGTGTGGTTTATTTATTACAGCTCAGCCTCCCAGAACTGCCCCGTGGAGCCCGGCACCAGGGGGACATGGACCAGGGGGACAGCAAAAGCAGGTTCAAGCCTCCAGCCCTCTCCTTTTCCACTGCAGAGCCTCTTTCCTTGCAAAATCTGGCACTTTCCCCTGAGCAGGATTCAGGGGGATGGTACACATTGCCAACTGTCGCTAAGGAGAAACTTCTCTTTCCTACGTCTACGAAAGTTTCCATTCTCATCCCTTCCTCTCACGTCAGCATTCCCTGCTCTGGGCCTGTTTTAATCCACCAGCAGAACTGCTGTGTTTCTCCATTTTATGTTGCCTGGGATATTTTTAGCCCGTGTATTTTAAAAAGCTTCATCCTTCTGTTTGCTTCCCAGCCTCTTCAGCCCCGAGGACTGGAAGGCTCTGACACTGCAGTCATTGGTACATGCAAGAGTAATTATTTAAGACCATGAGTTGTTAATTTTCTTTGCAAGTTATTTATCCTTTAAGTATTGCACCAATCCTGCCATTCATCATTTGCATAATTTAACCTTTTCTTTCCCCCAGGGAGAGGAGGAATACTTGCCGATACATAGTGTTTGTGTGGATGGTTTTGGCCACCCAGAATCAGTCGTGTAAGTGTAGTCCATTCAGAAGCCTGATCCTGATGCAACACACAGCTGAGTTCCCTGTAATCTTGGCTGGTTGTGGATGCTGGCTCTGGAGCCATCTGATTCAGACAGTCACGATTATTTGGACCAGAAAGGAAAACAAAAGTACAAAAGCTTCTGAGTGTGCTGAGAGTTGGCTGAGCTTCTCTGGAAGGTGGATGGAAGGACAGGGGATTTAGGGAACCCTGTTGTACCTTGCTACAGGAGCTGTTCCCTTCAGGAAGGCGAAGGGTTGTTGCTGTACTTT